AGAATGGAAGGGGTTTTTTTTTTTTTTTCTTTCTCACACAATGCACAGCACTGAGTACTGTATGCAAAATGATACTTGGTCCAAGAAAGCAAACATGCACCTCATGCTGCCTGCCTTTTTCTAGCCAGAAGAAACACTTCAGTATATAACTTTTGTGGAAGCCCTTCACATGGCTGTTATGACTTAACAGAACCAACAGCAACACAAGTATTGTCTTAAAACATTAACACCTACTCGACACAAGTAATATAATGACTAATCATTAATGCTTCCATCTCTAGGACTACATTAAAAGTCTTTCGTCTTACAATGTAGGTTATGTCTGTTTTGCAACAGGGCACCTGCCTCACTGCACAGAATGAGCTAATACCTGTAAGACAACCAGGAGCGTTTCAGCAACACGATCAAGCTCTGAAGGACCCAACCCTGTTTCTTACAGGGCAGGATATGACCAAGGCCAAAAGTGCAAAAAGGACACTCAGGTAGCCCGAGGAACATGATTCTAGCCCTGCACTGCCAGTGATTTCTTAACGGGATGTTTGGCCAATCAATCGAAATACACCTAACCAGCAAATGCCTCCCCTCAAACTTTTACAAATTTCCACTACAAAGAGAGTAAGAAACATCTCTTGCTGAAGCTGAGGAAATATTTGCAGAAACATGAAGTCATTGCCCCAGCAACTCTAGTCAATAGTAACTGTCCTTCTAAGACACAGGACATTTGAAGCTCTCTAGCACATCCTAAATTTGGCACTGAAAATTAGCTTAAGTCCAGTAACCATGGCTTGGATTGTGTCAGAGCCCCTCATCTGCAGAACGAGGCTACTACTCACCTCAGATTAACACTGATATTGATGAAGAACTCAACACAGCAAAAACCACAGTGTCCCCCACAGGGAAATCAAAAACCATATATATGTATAGTGCCGGGTTTAGACGTGCACTAAATTAGGTTTGGACCTACAAACTGAAAATAAAAATAAATGTTTGACTATTCTTCAGTGAACATCATCAACTGCGTGCAATAAACAGAGCAAGAGTCCCATGGAAAAAAATAGCAGGTGATCATGTAAACAATGCACAAGGAAAGAAGCAAAAAAGACAGCTTTATGTTAGTCATTTCCTAATCTTTGAATATTTGCCTTTGCAACCTTGGCATTTCATAATTTTAAAAGAGTGTTTTTATATTACCTGGTAAAATGAAGGCATAATTTTTTTTTTTCCTTTCTTTCTTCCGTGTATAAGAGTAAGCTGCTTTAGTATCTGTTGGTTTCTTGTCTTTCACAACAGGGAGAGTTTGCCAGCCAGGTAACAAAGTTGAAAAAGACGGAATGCAGGCTGCATACAAAGAAGTTACTAGAGGTTATACTGCATCAGAAAACTGTGAAAACACACAGTGTTACAGAAAGAAGAATGCTTTCAGCTATTCTTACTGCTTTATATTACACACACGTCTACTGCCAGTACAGTAACTACATGCATTAGTTCATTACAAGGAATGAATTTTCCTGCTTTGAAGTAAGATCTTAGTATCCTAGGCTATACTCTTGATTTAATACATGTAGAAGTTACCCTCTCATGGAAGAGGTATGCATGATGCAAGCATCCATACACATCAACCAACAAGAGTTTTCATTCAAGTCTTTTATTATAGCTTGAATTGTTTTCACTGCATTTAAAAATCTAAAAAAAATAAATATTTGTTTCACAGCTGCAAGTCACATATGCATTAACACCACAAACAATCTGGAACTTTAGCCAGAGGAGGAAAGTCAAATCCAAAAGTGTTCAGCTAAGCACAATTGTCTCAGGGCAATTATACTAAAAATAAACTTTCAGAAAAGGGGAGGGGTGTGTTAAAGAGTTATTTCAAATGCATTTATCTGGAAAACAGTGAAAATTCTATTATTAGAAATCATAAACTACGCTTTCAGCATTTAAAAATAAACGTTTAAACTCTTGACAGTAACAACTGTCCAGTTCATCTTTTGCTCTTCAGCTGTATTCTTGACCCATGGCTGCAGAGGTTCCCAGTGATAAATTAACCTCGTTTATAATTGTGTCCACATAATTACAGAATCAATCTTTAAAAATAAAACAGTGTATTAAGTCACCTTCTCCACCCATATATTATAAAAGCCATTATTTGCAGTTTTGTACCAGCACTAAGCGACTGCTTAATGGAAATGATTGGATTGTACACTGTGAAGATGAATGTCTTTTAAGCAATCACTTCCGTTACTAGTGTTCTTAAAAGAAACCAGAAAAATATATCTTCAGAAATCAGAGTAGTCACTTCTTTGTTAAAAGCCATAAAATAAGCTCATATTCAATTACAAGCAATAGAAACCATACTGCTATCGGAACATAATTATTTTATCACAAAAAATTTATTATTTACAAAATGAA